GAAGAGAACGTCAATCATGCCAGCCTTCAAAACAGGCAATAAGTGCGATGTTGAGAACTATAGGCCGATTAGTAAATTATCCACAGTCGCCAAAATATTCGAAAATATCGTCAAAACTAAACTTTATTTTATTGTCAAGCACTTGAGCTGCCCAAACCAACATGATCCACGGTGACAAATCTTGCAGTTTTTACCGATGATTGCTTTTCAACTTTCCGTAATGGCTTTCAACTGGATGTGATTTACACAGATTTTTCGAAAGCCTTCGACAAAATCTCTCACAATATCTTATTAACAAAGTTAGAATGTTTAGGAATCCACTCAGGTTTCTTGGAGTGGATCAGGTTGTTGTTGTTGGTTGGTATCTCAGTCGTTGTCGTCAAGTTCCACTAACGGCAACCCTAGGAAGCGTGCAGCTTCTGTGGGGTTTGTCCACAGGGACAAGGCCGTTAGGGTTGTCGGGTTTTCCGGGCATGCGAAGAGATGTTTCGAGTCATGTGGGGTCTCTCCGCATGCCGGACACTCATTCGGCACATCCTCATTCAACCTACTCAAGTAGGAGTTCAACCTGCTGCAGTAGCCGGAGCGAAGTTGTGCGAGTGTTGTGCGTGTCTCCCGAGGCAGATGAAGCTCCGTCTCGTCTATGTCCGGGGGTGGTATGCCTAGAACGGCATTCACAGGTCTAGAGTCTACATAACTCGAGACTGAGTCCCTGTGAATGCCGTTCAGGGCCTGTCTGTAAGCTGTCGGGTCCAGAGGTTCCTTAATGAACCTCTGGACTTCGTCCGTCAGTTCATATAGATGCCTCCTGACGTGCCTAGGCGAGGGCTCCTCTGCAAGCAGCTGTCTGCTTGGGTGGCCACTTCTGTGGCTCCCGATCAGGAACTGCTTGCAGAGCATTATATTATGCTTCTTTACAGGGAGCATTTGCGCCTCGCCGTGCAGGTGGTGTTCAGGCGACATCAAGAGGCATCCTGTCACTGTCCTGAGTCGGTGTTCTGTACAGTCTGTAGCTTCGTCCACTGCGTCCTACTAGTCCCTGGCGACCACACTGGCGCTGCGTAGTTCAAAACCGGCCGGCCTATTGCCTTGTATGTAGCCAGCAACGTTTCTTTGTCTTTGCCCCAAGTACTGCCGGCTAGCGACTTGAGGACCTTGTTGCGGCTCTGTACTTTATTGACAATAGCGGTTGAGTGCGCAGAGAAGGAGAGCAGGCTGTCGAATGTTACTCCGAGTATTTTGGGGTTATTCACCGTCGGAATTGGTGTGTCATCGACGTGAATCCCCAGCGGTAGCCTGACCTCCTTCGTCCAGGTTGTGAACAGGGTCGCGGAGGATTTCGTAGGGGAGAGGGCTAGACACTTTGAAGTGAAGAAGCGAGAAAGTTCGGAGAGATAGCCGTTTACTTTCGAACACAGGTCATCAATTCCATTCCCAGTCGCCATGATCGAGCAATCGTCGGCATAAGAGACAATCGAGACTCCCTCTGGTGGTTGAGGGAGCTTTGAAATGTAAAAGTTAAACAGTAGCGGGGAAAGGACACCACCCTGAGGAACCCCCTGTTTTATTTTTCGCTGCTTACTCGTTTTGTCTCTAAACATTACCGACGAATGTCGACCACTCAGATAATTTGCCGACCACCGTTTGCGCCTCTGTGGGAGAGAGGAGGCCTCTATATCTTCCAGTAGCGTGGAATGGCAGACGGTGTCAAACGCCTTTGACAAGTCCCACGCTACTAGAATCGTTCTCTCACAGGGACGGTTACGGTTAAGGCCACGAGTTATCTGAGTGTTTATGGCGTTAAGTGCTGTTGTTGTACTGTGCACTTTACGGAAACCGTGCTGATGCTTCGCTGGGGTCAGGTGGTTTGTGAAGTACGGGAGTAGCAAGGCCTCGAGTGTCTTCGCTACCGGAGAAAGGAGTGTAATCGGACGATACGAATCTCCTTTGTTGGCAGGTTTCCCCGGTTTGAGCAGTGGGACCACTCTCCCCACCTTCCAGATGTCTGGGATGATGAGAGTGGCCATTGACAAGTTGAGGACCTCCG